AAGCAAGAGGGAAAGGAAAACAAGGTTGGGGGAGAAAGAAAGAATAGGAATTTTTTAAAAATAGAAATGCATTCTTTATAATTTATGTTATTGATAACAATTCAGAACAAATTACACATTATTATAAGAGTTTTTGCATATGTGTGTGTTCTCATGAGTAATGTGTAGGTTGCATTTAAAAATATATCTGAATTCAAATGACTATATTTTTACTCAAAAATCTTCTAATAACCAACTGAGCATTTTGTTGTTGTTTGGCCCACATTTATGAAGCTATTTATTTTATGTATTAGAAAAATCTGTCCAATTAATCTCTTGATGGTATTTCTGAGTTAATATTGATGCTTGGCTTTCTTCTTATTCTAACAGTAGTTTTGATCTTATTTGTTTATTCTCTTTTTGGCATACAGGTATCTAAATATGACTGAACTGTAGAATATTTCACATGAATATAAATCATTTGTGAGTCACTGAATTCACCCTGGACCTATGTACATCAGAGTTTTCACTCATTTTAAACACTACTGGTCAATGATGTGATGATGAAAAAACAAAGTTCGTTATGATGAAATCTCCCCCACTTCCAAACTATACCCCAACGTTTAATTATGTTTCAATAACTATGGATTTCAGTGTCTTTAAATTTATTTTTGTCCTTTTTGCCCATGCAATTTTCTTATTCGTATTCCACTAACTGTGAAACATTATAGGGATATCAGTGTATTGGGGGTGGGGGAGATGATGAGAAATAAAATACAACTTTGTGGCAATTGTGACTTTATTCTGTTAGCAATATCTTCTGTACAGTAGTCTCCCACCCCCTTATTCTTGGATTCACTTTTCCCATATTCACTTGCAGGTGGTCATTGACTGTCCAACCATATCAAATGGAAAATTCCAGACAGAAACAACTCATACGTTTTAAACTGCATGTTACTCAAGTACTGTTGTGAAAAATTATTCCTTCTCACTCCATTCTGCCTGGGACTTGGATCATTTTTTTTTGTCCAGTATATCCATGTGGTATACGATGCCCACCCTTAGTCACTTAGTAGCCTTCTAGGTTTTCTTATAGACTGTTACAATATCAGAATGCTATGTTGAAGATAATGTCCACAAGGTGCAAGAGCTGTGATGCTGGCAATTCTGATATGTCA